TGTGTAATTTTTAGATTTATATCTTATTTATTTAGCTCAATATAAAATTTCAAAAAGTGTCCATAATGCCATGCTACTCCACTGTATATTATGTGAAACTAACATATTAAGGTTTAAGATTACTGGATTGGTTTCATTAAATTTATTTTGGTAGTTTTTTATATGCATTTATTAACTCTATTGTTCATTAATTTGATTATTTTGTCAAAACCTTATAATGATCTATATTTTCGAAATACATATTCTGTTTATGAATTTGTTTAATTATATTGTAAATATTAAAATAAATTAGCTTAAATATACAGGAATAGCTATTTAAAATAGTTGGAAATTCTAAACAAATTCTATGTGTACAATGTTTAAAAGATATAAATTCACTTTCTTTTTTTCTATCAATTTGAATCGATTTAACAATTTAAATATATAAAAAACAAACAATTAATATTGCAAAGAAAATCAAAATAAAAACTCCAAGTTCAGTCAGTCAACAATCAAAACCTCATCAAAATATTCAAAATTTTATAAATTATAATATTCTCATTTAAATAAAAACACAATTTGTCTTTATGACCGATGAACCAGAATCTTTCGAAGTATCCTCTAAAACATCTTTTAGAATCGAGAATAGTGCTTTGGCCAGCGCTTTTCCTGCTTTTAAGCCAAGTTGATCAATGATTCTTGAAGAGGACAAATTTGAATAAAATGATCTTGCACATTTCCAAGTGGTTAATTTATTGGTATACTATACCTTTTCAATATCTTTTCAATAGATTTACTGCAGTACTGGTACTGTTACAGCATTTAAATAAAACAGGACATCGTGATACATTTTTGATGCATATAATTATGTAATTTCTATTAACATTAGCGTTAGAAATTTATTCGCATGATACGTAATGATAATAACAACTAAAGAGATGCAACCAATAGACATTGACGATATGCAAAACACAGATACTTTAGATACTAATTCCGACATTTTAAAAAGTGAAGTCAGAAAACTAGCTAAAATTATACAACTATTTGTTCCTCTAATTAGTTCTGTATTTATAATCGTATCAGAAGCAGTGAAGATTTATGAAAATGCTAAGTATAACAAAAATATTTGTGCTTCACTATTGATGAGAGTTAATATTGCAAGGACCAATGTTGAAATTTTACAACTCTAACCTAGAATTTGTGATTATAAAGCATTCTATCAATTTGTGGAAATATTAAAGAAAATGAAAGATTTCATGAATAACGTTTCAAACTTGTTAGGCTGGAAGAAATATGCATTGGCAAATTCAGTTCATGAAACTTTTACACAATTGATTTCCAAATTCGATAAAAGCATGGATGATTTATATTTCACGATAACTATTTCTAATGAACAACAAAGAAAATTAGACCAAGAAAACCTCAATTGTAACATTGAAGAAATGAAACAGGTAAAATTTATGAATACCTTAAAATTTTGCACTATATAAATAATCTTGTATTTTTTAGTTTCTGGAAATAATTGCCAGAGGTGTTACAAACATGAAGTCGCATATCAATACAGTTATTAATGAAGTGCAAATCATTAATAAGAGGGTGGATCATTTAATTCATGATCCTATTAATAATATGATAAACTTGAAAGCAGTCAAAATTAATCCAAAAGAGTTAGATGATCTTCTCAACACGGAAACAAAAAAATCTATTATTAAAAAGTTATACCGAGGGAATAATGTTGCTTGCAAATTTACAAACATCATAGACAACGAGACATCAAGAAGTTAAAAGATTCAAATGCAACTTGTAATTTTAGGAAAATTAAAAGAGTGTCCAAATATTTTAAGATTCTATAGGCTCTTTAATGTGAATGATAACCAAGTTATGGTATTTGAATGGGCGGATAAAGGAAATCTCAAAGAATTATATGAAAAAAATGATATTAATTGGGATAAAAAAGTTCACATTGCTTTAGATATTTGTCGAGGTTTGATATTTTTACAAAGTTGTGATATCCTTCATCATGATATTAGGTGCAAAAACATTATGGTAAATTTTATATTTTTCAGAAAGTTTTCTAGACTTGTGTTTTTTTTTTGATTATAATCTCCTTTCTTTTTATTAACTATTAGATAACCATGCAACATCAACCAAAAATTGCGAATTTCTGATATTCTCGTGAAACAGACCAAAATACTATATTCATTGAAAATACAAAGGACATAGTGAATTGGATGGTACCTGAAAAAATGTCTGGGGTCGATATAATTTTAAATGTGAAATTTTCAGGTCAATATAATTATAATACTTTATATTTTGTATATTGTACATAATAATAGTTATCGTGAAACACTTTCATTACTTTTTGGCATATTATATCTATAATTATAAATCATACTATAACATTGATATTGAATCACCAATACCTTTATATAGTAATTATTGATGATTTAATTCTAATATTGTAGTTTTGAAATGTTACTTTGGGAATTGATATTTGAAAAAATTCCATATAAAGATTTCGACATGAATACAATAATGAACTTTGTTAAAGATGACGATTGTGAAAAGATCACTTTTGGACAAGCAACTTTAGAATATCAAAAGCTTCAGAAAGGTTTAAAAAAAACCATTATTGAAGGTAAATATATTTATTAAGAGAAATTACAGACACAAATAATCTTTATTATATTATTTTAATAAAATAATTTATTATAATACATTATTAAGCCTGGAAAGAAAATCTAAAGGATAGAATTTTACTTAAAGACATATTCCAAAAGCTTCACAATTTATCATTAAAATGCGATCAACCACGCTATCAAACTTCACTTTATCTAGATGGCCATTTAGACTTAGATGGATCAAGATCATCTGAAGCATCTTTAATAAAATCACTTGAAGAAGGCATTGAATCTCACAAAAAGAAAAGTTATGAGGATGTTTGGTGTATTTTTGAATATCATACCAAGTTAGGAAGTATTACTGCGAAGTTTGGAAAGCACGTTATCTAGTTGATGGAATATTTGTAAAAAAGATATAGTACAGGCTGCTGAATTATTTAAAGAAGCTGCTGAAGATAATAATATAGATGCCTGCTTCCGCTATGCACTTTTGATGACAGATAAAAATTCAGGTGTAAAACTTAACTGTGAAAAGTTCATCGAATATCTGACAAAAGCAGCTGATGCTGGCAATGCTATGGCTCAATATAATTTGGGTGACATACATTTAAAAGGGAAATTATCATCTTATTCAAATGCAGATTTGGGTATTAAATATTTAAAATTGGCTATATTAAATGGTCATTCAGAAGCTGAAGTGATTCTGAAAGAAAAGCATATAGAAATTAATGAATAATTAATAAGATAATTATAAGGATAAATTTGGTTTAGATTAAATATAAAAAAATATTCACTAGAATGCATGAAGTTTTACCATTACAAATAACTGATTAAGTTTCTATACTCACTTTTAAAACTGTAGTGATCTTTATCACATTTCTCATACTATTATAGATGGGTATCTAAATTCAAAAAGGAAATTAAAACAATAATTACAGTAATAACCAAATGGCATTGTTGCAATTTCTTTTTTTGAATTTAGACACCTATTTATATTTTATACCTTTAGTAGTAGACTTATTTTTATTATTATTGTTATATAAAATAATGTACCAAACTTTGTTGCAAATATATTAATATTGTATACTAATTGCAAGCACTATATAATGTATAATAAAAATATATAGAATTTTATTTATAACTTATAAAAAAAATATGTATATGTATATAATATAAGATACTGTATTAAAAATTCAATTTCATGTTAACCTATTTTATATTCTTAAAAAATAAACCAATATTGTTTTCTGAAACATAACTATTAAAAATCAATCACTATTATTATTTTCTTGATTTTTTTTTAATCATTATCAACTAGAATAAATTGCCAAATTATAATTTTAGAGTTGACTTAACAAACATTTAAATACATATTAATAATAAACTTATATGAAAAATAATCCCCTATTTGAAGTTCAATATCTATTGTAGCTAAATAATTATTGAAAATTCAAAGACTTTAGTTTTCAAATATGTATCATAAAAACCTTTGACGCAAATCTGAATACTATATGGTTATTAATAAAAATAATTCTAAATACCTTTTATTTCTTTTGAGTTAATATATTTGCTAGTATACATTGAATTTGGATGGTATCGTATGATATCTGGTAATGTCTTAATAATTTCATTAGCCTCTAAGAATTTCTTCCTATACAAAGTTTATCAGAATAATGATTATTATAGACATATTTCCATAGATTATAAAGGTTTAAATAAATTTCATTTGCAGTGGGCCATTTCTGTAGATTTGGGTTCATGCATTTTTTAGCTAATCTAATATAGCAATTTGGAGTTCTAGGTGCAAAGGCTGGTTGCAAACCACGAATAATCTTGATTGCAAGATCATTATCAAATGATAAACCATCACAATGTCTCTGCCCGGTTGATATTTTTGCCATAATAACACCTAGCCTATAAATATCAGCAGCTGGTATATATCTTCTGCCTTGTAAAACTTCAGGCACAACATAAGGCATAACTTCCAAAATTTTATCATTAGATTCATTATTGCTATTTTCATTAATTTTTTTCGATAATCCAAGATTTGTAATATAAGAAAATACAGATCTGCTAATATTATTTTGCAAAATATTTCTGCTATGAAAATCACTGTGCGTGTATTCTGCTTTGTAAATTTTTACTAAATCACTTGATATATTAATAAGTTGTGATAATTTATGTTCCCAAGTAAGTTTTTTAAAATTATTTTTTAAAAACTTATTAAGACTTCCACTATTGGCAAATTGAAGTACCATTAGATAATCATCGGCATTAAATTTAAGATACACATTATCTTCTGTACTTTTAGTTAATCCATATATTGCTAATTCACTTCCTATTAATCTACATTGCATATGATTTTCAAACTTATTTAAATGAATTTACATTAATTTATTTGTTTAATATGTAAAATACTTAAATTTATGACAACAAACTAATTTTAACTTACTTCTTTTAAACATTGAGAAAGATCTTGAGTATTATTAGGCAAGGTTTTGAGCGCAACTGTGGATGATTCTATATGTGATCTTACCCAGGCATCATTTTTATATTCAGTTATTCGTATGCCATCTAACCAAATCACCGAGTATACTGATCCATATCCCTTTAGCAATATATTTAACTTTTTTTAATCTATCAAATAGGATCCATTCAATAACCTCATCATACATGATAGATTTGCACTAAAACCCTTTAATAAAATTATCAACATCTTTATTTCCACTTGTACTTGACAATTCTTGATTAATTTTAGAATCACACGTCTGACACCAGATATAAAACGTGTTATACTATTTACAGTATTTACATGTTTTATAATAAGATTGTCTGTGGATTAATTTATGTTATTAAAATTTAAATTTTTCGCAAAATTACAAATCAATATTATTTTTTAATGTATGAGGTAAATAGAGAAGGTATAATTAATAGTTAATTCTATTTTGTTGACAATAAAATATTATGATTATTTTTATATATATGAATAAAATTCAACAC